AACAGCTGTTTTTCCCACCTGTATCTGAGGGTCAAGGAGCGGTCAAATACTTGTTTTGTGAGCTCCACCATATAAAAACATTCCTCCTGACTTGGCAAATTAGGCACTGGCGTGCAAAACACATTAATAGCTCCCAACAATTTGGTTAACATGTATTATATGAAATGCAAAAAACTCAGCCAAAATATTAACAAGAAAACAAGCAAAAAACATTTCTTTGAGACGGAGACTTGTTATGGAGGCCAGTCTAGCCATGAATCATGATCCTGCTGGCTCAGCCCCTTCAGTCCTTTTATCATATCTGTGTGCCACCACACTATGTTTTATCATTTCTTTGTTAGCAGTGTAGCAGTATTCTCCAGAGAGAGAGAAAATTGAAAACACATGCATAGATAACATATACTCATATAATATATATATACATATATATATATATATATAAATAAATAGCACACACAACACATTGGCCATCAGATAGTTAGAGATAGAGAATAGGGGATTCATAAACCTCTGTCAGGTGTGTCACTGATGAAGATTTTCTCCCACTCTGTGGGTTTTCTCTTCATTTCCTTGGTTGCTTCTTTTGATGTACAGAAGCTTTTTAGTTTAATGAGATCCATTTATTGAACCTTGCCCTTATTTCCTGAGCAGTTGATGACTGGTTTAGAATATTGTTTCCTACACCTATATCTTGTAGGTTATTGCCAATGTTTTCTTCTAAGAGTTTCAGAGTTTCAGGCTTCACATTGAGGTCTTTTAACCATTTGGAGTTGACATTTGTGCAAGGGGAAACACAGGGGTCTAGTTTCATTTTTCTACAGATGGAGAGCCAGTTTTGACAGCACCATTTGCTGAAGATGCTACCTCTCCTCCAGTGAATGTTCTTGGCCCCTTTGTCAAATATCAGGAGATGAAATTGCATGTACTCATATTTGGGTCTTAAATTTTGTTCCATTGATCTACGGGTCTATTTTTGTGCCAGCACCATGTTGTTTTTATGACTATAGCTCTGTAATATAGTTTAAAATCTGGTATAGTAATCCCCACCCCCCAAATTGCTCTTAGTGCTCAACATTACTTTGGCTATCCGAGGACTTTTGTGCTTCCGTATCAACTTAGGATGTTTTTTTTTTCTTCCCTAATTCTCAAAGAATGTCATGGGAATTTTGATTGGCATTGCATTGCATCTATAAATGGCTTTTGGTAGGATGGTCACCTCTTCCTTTGCTGATGGCTTGATGTAGATAAAGATGCAGCTTCCGTAGGTGATGGAAACCACAATCATGTGTGACGAGCAGGTGGAAAAGGCCTTTTTCCTTTGCTGTGCTGAGGGGAATCTCAGAATTGTTCTAATGATGTACGTATAGGACAGAAACACACAGATTAGGGTAATAATGAGTGCAAACACAGCTACAAGTATAACCATCTGTTCTATTACCCACGTGTCTGAGCATGAGATCTTTAGAAGGGGACCTGCATCACAGCTGAAATGATCAATGGCATTGGAATCACAGAAGTCAAGCTGGAGGCCCAAGCTAAGGGGTGGGATGATAATCATTAAGCCAGACACCCAACAGGAGAGGACTAGTAACGTACACACCTTGTGGCTCATGATGGTCATATAATGAAGGGGTTTACAGATGGCCACGTAGCGGTCATAGGACATGGCTGCCAAGAGAAAAAATTCAGTTGCTCCAAAGAGAATAACAAAGAATATTTGACTTGCACA